TGTGCAAAACACTGGGTTCATCACTTTAACCATATGTACTTTAATCTTCATAAAAATTCTGTGAGTCAGGTTCTGTTATTATGCACATTATTCCAGTGAAAACATTGAGGCTCAGCAGAGCTAAATGTGCTCAGTCACAAGGTTGGTAAGTGCTGGAGGTGGGATTCAAACCCGGATCTGCCTGAACCCTTAACTTCTGTATTGTCTGCCCAGGTTCCTTGGTGACAGGTGTTGGCCTGGGGCTGAGCAAGCCTAGCCGACAGGTGACAATTGAAGCCAGATGAGCGTGACCGACACAAAGTATGTCAGAGATCCCCTGCTTTCATGCAAGAGAGGACAGTCCCTCACTGGTGTGGTGATTCCTTGGTGCTGCCTCTTAAATAAGTACAGCACGGTTGCTTGCGGCTATCCAACTTTAAGTGTAATTCATAATTGAAGTGGTTAATGGAAGTTGTCTGGACAGATGCTGTGGACACTACACATTGGGAGCTGCTTGCTCCAAATCTCTCTTGCTTAAAGTATTGGAAACTTCAGGGATCTGATAGCTGAATGTGTAAAGATACTAACACACACACACACACACACACACACACACACACACACACGCACGCACACACGCAAGCTAATGCAACCAGAGAAGGTTATCTGGAGGAGTAGAAACCTAGGTTGGCCTGTTCCGGCCAGCTGCCAAAAACAAAACAAAACAAACAAAACAAAACAAAACAACCTAGGTCAGCTCTTGAAAGGCAGTAGGGATTTGAGTAGGCAGAGAAAAGGTGGAGATGAATGAGTGAAGACAGGGGTGGGTGTGCGGTGTGGTCTCAGGCACTGAGAAGAATCGCAGGCTTGCGGCAGACAATTCCTGGGGAGGGGCCGTGGACGCTGAGCAGCTAGGTGGGGTTGGACCAGGTTACGCAAAGGGTTGAAACCAAGTTTAAGAACTCAGGAGCACATATCCAGCCACCACTCGTACCACCACTGTTTTTCTTTTTCCAAACTGCCTTGGCTGTTCACGCTGGCTTGTTTCTCTAGGTTCATGTTAGAACTATTTTGCGTAAGTTCCAAGACACATTCTTTTGGAATTTCCACTGCAATTGCACAAAATCTTTATACATATGTGGGGGAGAGTTGGGATGGTTACAAAATTGTGTCTTTCCTTGGTAAATTCTTCTCACCAGTGGTATAGATTTTGGTTTTTGGAATCTACATTTTACGGATATTTTATGTGTGTGAGGGTGGGTTATCTTTGTCAACTTTGAGATTATTGGTTCTTGCTATAATAAGAGATCTGCTGTATAACATTGTACAACAATATTATATTGTACTCTTAAAAATTGATTAAAAGGGTAGATCTCACAGCGAGTGTTCCTACCACAATAAAGTNTCTCCCTCCCCAGCCATTTGCCCAGTGAAGGTGGGTGTAACAGAAACAAGCATGCACACACACACACACATATTGTTTGAGATTGTCATAATCAAATAAGGAGGGAAAAGACAGGAAGACCAGTTCGGATGAGGTGGTTGAGGAAGGTCAGTGGAAGGAAGCAGCATCCGTGCCGAGAAATGCGGGACGAGGATGAGTCAGGGAAAGTGTTCAAGACAGAGAGCAGCAAGTGCAAAGGGCCAGTGGTGAGAAAGGATGTGACGTTCTCAAAGGACAGGAGGCCACCAGAGAGGGAGGGGCATGAGCGATGGCAGAGTGGCATGTGATAATTTGGAGTTACAGGCAGGGACCTTCGAGGCCACCAGTAAGGAGGTGAATTTTATTCTAAGTGGGTGTGAAGCCACTCAAGGATTTTAAGAAGGGCACGATCTAATTTAAAAGAGCACTCTGGCCGCTGTGAGGAGAATGGATTGATTGTGGAAGGCAGAAGTGGAGACGGTGGAGGTAGTCAGGAGGAGATGGTGGTGGCGAGGACTCGGGGAAGCAGCGGCGACAGAGGCGGATGACCTTGAGAGACATTTGGAAGGCAGAGTGGGCAGGTCTCCCACCCCCTCGCCTCTCACACTCTTCACTGGTGCTGGTATAAGCTGGCAGATTCTGCACAGTCTGGACCTGCCCCTCAAGCCCCTGGGGGCCTTCATCCTGGCCCTTCAGAGGCTGTTTCAGGTGCTCAGAGGGAGAAATACAGCTGGGGCAGACAAGCCAAGCCAGAGCTGTGCTGGTGATGCTGGGGAAGGGCGACGTGGAACTCCTCAAGAATGGGGCACAAGGCCCGAGCGTGGACATGAAGGCAGCTGGGAACCAGCTGTGGTGGAGGGACAGGTGGAGTTGGAGCTGAAGCACTTGCTGGTGTTTGCAGGACAGCCAAACCTTGCCCTCTGGTGAATGTTAGTAACAATAGCACAGTCACTGAACTTTCTCTGTGCAAAACACTGGGTTCATCACTTTAACCATATGTACTTTAATCTTCATAAAAATTCTGAGTCAGGTTCTGTTATTATCCACATTATTCCAGTGAAAACATTGAGGCTCAGCAGAGCTAAATGTGCTCAGTCACAAGGTTGGTAAGTGCTGGAGGTGGGATTCAAACCCAGATCTGCCTGGACCCTTAACTTCTGTATTGTCTGCCCAGGTTCCCTGGTGACAGGCGTTGGCCTGGGGCTGAGCAAGCCTAGCCGACAGGTGACAATTGAAGCCAGATGAGCGTGACCGACACAAAGTATGTCAGAGAGCCCCTGCTTTCATGCAAGAGAGGACAGTCCCTCACTGGTGTGGTGATTCCTTGGTGCTGCC